GCAGCCCCAGCAGCAGAGAGGGCAGGACCCTGGCCGGGGCCCCCATCCTGGAGTCCGCGTGGATGGGCAGGACTGCGCAAGTGCAGGCGGGGCCCAGCTTCCTTAAGTAGCAGCTTCGCGGGCTGGGGCAGCTCCTGTGTGGGGACAGGTTCCTGGAATCAGGACGGGAGGGGGAGGCACAGGGCCTGGAACCTGCTTGCGACACAGCTGGGGTCATGGGTCAGACTTAGATGCCAGTTGCTGCTGCCCCAGGGTCAGAGGGTAGGTCGGCTGGCCCCAGGTGACCACATCTGTCCACCCCGCCCACACAAAGACCCCGTGAGCATTGCTAGGAAAACCGGGTTTACACACCAGGGGACTGACGCTCAGAGAGGCTGGCACATGCTCAAGATTTACACCCAGGCCCTACCCGGTTTGGCTCAGTGGATAGAGCGTTGGCCTTCGGACTGAAAGGTCCCAGGTTCTATTCCGGGCAAGGGCATGTACCTTGGTTTGCAGGCACATCCCCAGTGGGAGGTGTGCAGGAGGCAGCTGATCGATGTTTCTCTTTCATCGATGTTTCTAACTCTCTATTCCTCTCCCTTCCTCTCTGTAAAAAATCAATAAAATATATTTAAAAAAAAAAAGATTTACACCCAGGAAAGGGCAGAGAGCTGGGACTCAAAGCCAGCCTGGCGCCTCCAGATTCTCTCCTCTTTATACTCCACTCTGTTTAACAAAGAACCGTCCCCACCCCCACGCCCGCCCCGCAGTGGGAAAACAGGCTTTCTCCAGCCTTGGTGGTAGTAACGTTTCAGGAAGGTAAGTAACACAAGTCAGTAAACACCAGCCACCTGACCCAGCCTTTACAGAGCTGTCAGCATGCAAACCTGTCGCTGCTCCAAGGTGCCCGTTGCTGTGCTACGTGAAACAGGAAGGAGGAGGGGGACCGACCTAAAGTGTCCCACCAAGGGGCACTGGTGAAGCTTCGATGAGACAGCCACTGAAAGCGAGGCTGCAGCAATCGATGGAGTTTCTTGATAAGGAAGGAGGGCCAGGAGGGGTCGGTTTCTCATGGCACCATCGGGTGAGGTTCTGTTCTTTGTTCTATTTCCGTGTTTGCCAACCAGGAAAATTCTTAGCAAGGAGTTATGAGAGATTGTCTCTGGTTGGATGGGCAGGATTATAGGTATTTTAAAAAATCCTTTGCCCTGGCTGGTGTTGCTACGTGGTTAGAGTGTCGGTCCATGCACCGAAGGGTCTTGGGTTTGATTCTCACTCAAGGGCACGTACCTGGGTTGCAGGTTTGATCCCTGGTCAGGGCGCATGCAGGAGGCAACCAATTGTGTCTTTCCCACATCGATGTTTCTCTCCTCCTCCCTCCCTCCCGCCCTCCCTTCCACTCTCTAAAAATCAAACAAACAAAAATCAATGGGAACAATATCTTTGGCTGAGGATTAAGCAAAACATATATAAATAAATAAAAATAATAAAAATCTTTTTGCTTGTTGGTATTTAAAATTTTTATTGGGGGCATGGTTCTGGGTAATATTGTATTTGCAGTAAGTAAAGATGATGAAATTTCATTTGGGAAAAAAATCTATAGTAGGGGTTGTGCTAAACTCATTGGGGTCCCCAAGGACTCCCTATATTTGTGAGTTTTGTTCTACCCTCACCTCCAGGAAGCCTTCCCTAGTCTCCCCCAGGTTTTCCTGGATTAGAGAAAGGCCCCCTCTGCGCTCCCAGAATCCTCTGCACTTTCTCCATCACAGCATTATCCATTCTCTGCTGTTTCCTAATTGTGGTCCTTTAAAAATACGGACAAAAATTCTTTGCTACTCCTCCCATCAAAAGCTGGAGTCTGGGTGCCCACCCTTGAAACTGGGTGGGTCTTGGTGACAGTGTCTTCCTGGCGGGTCACAAAAGGCACTAGAATTGGGATTAGGAGGGGAACTCCCCACACAGAGCACACAGCCCAGGCCTCTCAGCTCCTCTGTCCTCAGGCTGTGGTTCCTTGAGGTCCTGGCTGTCGCCCCAGCAGCCCGGGTGCTCCTGAAGGCAGGATTGAGAGGACTCAGCCATCCTGGGGGCTTCTGCTTCCTGGGCTCAGCCTGCCGTGGTGGGGACCGGTCCTTTGCTGGGAGCCAGGAAACCAGTGTCCCAACCTGTCTCAGCCCTGCCTGGCCTGTGACCCTCAACAGCCTTGTGTCCTCCAGTGCCTCAGTTTCCCTCTGTAAAATGAGGACAGAGCAGGTGACTCCCATGGGCCCTTTCACCCTTGGAGAGTGTAAGAGTGAGGACCTCATGGGGACACAGAGGTTTGTCTTCTGGTGGCAGTTGGAGGATGTCCCAGCCTGGGGGCCATTTGTGGGGGCTGGGGGAATTCCCACGGCGGCAAACATTGGACCTTAGATCTGCCCTGGCCGGCGTGCCCTGTGGCCTCAGGCCAGGCCTCCACCGCTATAGGTGCTCCCCCTGCTCAAGGTGCCTTGGTGACCCAGCAGGGGCCCCCAGCAGCAGTGTGACCCCAGTGCTGGTCAGAACCCCCGGGCCTTTCTCCTACCAGGCTGTCCACCCACTTCTATGAAAGCCACAGCTGCTACCACCCTGTAACCAGGAAGTCCCACAGCAGTGAACAGGCTCCCCCTTTCAGAAGAACAATATTTACTGTGTTCTGATTACAAAGGTTGAAAAGAATTTAGAAAACCCAGAATTTGGAACCCACAGTGCTCGGAATGCTGAGTGGATGTAGGAGGTAATTGTTTTTGCAGTGGTTCTCAACCTTCCTATTGCGCGACCCTTTAATACAGTTCCTCATGTTGTGGTGACCCCCAACCATAAAATTATTTTCGTTGCTACTTCATAACTGTAATGTTGCTACTGTTATGAATCGTAATGTGAATATCTGATATGCAGGATGTATTTAGGCGACCCCTGTGAAAGGGTCGTTCGACCCCCAAGGGGGTCGCGACCCACAGGTAGAGAACCGCTGGTTTAAAGAGTGAATGAACATAAAGCAGAACATAGCGCAAGGGGAAGGGTGTGGACTCTGGGGCCAGATGGCCTGGGTGTGAATCCTAACTCACCCACTGGGTACTTTGGGCACTCCGTGACTCACTTTCCCCTCCTGTAGTTGGGCTCAGTCACAGGTGGGCAGAGAGTTCTGGCTATGGTCGTGTCACCCCTGATCCCCTCACCAGTCTCCAGCCCTCACTGGGCGTGGACGCCCGACTCCATTTTTGCTCTTCAAGCTTAGGGATGCTAGTTCCTGGGGCCGCAACTTCCTTCACCAGTTTCCTTAAGCCTTTCTCCCAGACTCTTCATTTGAATCCCAAGAGCCATCTGAACTGGATTCTGGTTTCCTGCCTGGACCCTGAGTGGCACAATCAGTGCAGGATCTTTTGTAGCAGACGCCTTCCTCTTGTGGAGAGCTCTGAATTCTTTTCCAAAGTCTGCAGGTCTTGTGCGGGGACAGTGGGCTGGGAGAGAGAGAACTAAAAATACACAGAGACGAATGCCACCAAGAGAGTCTCGGGCGGCCACTGAGAAAGCCTTTGTGGAGAGCTGACATTCTGCTGGATCTGGAAGGTCACACGGAGGTTTTGTGGGGGAGGGAACTGCTTGAAGTGAGAAGCACTGACAGCAAAGAAACCTGGGTCTTTGTCTGGGCTCCTCTCCTGATGGGCTGTGTGACATGGGGCAAACCATGCCCCTCTCCGATCCTCACTTTCCCTCCAAGTACAGATGACAGTGTTGGACCAGGACAGCATTTCTTGAATCCTCCAGGGCTCCTGTTCATTTATTTTTAAATGTATTTTTATTGCAGTATAATTGACCTATAAGGGTAAGGTATATCACGTGTTGATTTGATATACTTATACTAGTATATCCTATATAATCCTATATAATAAAAGCCTAATATGCAAATTGACCAAACGGCAGAACAATTGGTGGAACAACTGGTCACTATGATGTGCACTGACCACCAGGAAGCAGACGCTCAACACAGGAGCTGCCCCCAGCCTGCAGTCCCCAGGCCAGCCAAGGCGGGTGCCAGTGGCGTGATGGGGACTGGGCCAGTCTCCCCAGATAGGCCCTGATCACCAGCCAAGTCTAGGGACCCTACCCATGCATGAATTTCATGCATCGGGCCTCTAGTTGTAATATGATGGCCGCTGTAGCATGAACCGACACCTCTATCTGTCACATAATTATCATTTTGGTTTTGGGGGTGGGAACAATTAAAATCTAGTCTCTTGGCAACTTTAACGTCCATAATACAGTGGTGCTGTCTCCGATCACTCTGCCATGTATTAGATTTCCAGGCTTATTTATCCACTAGTTCTAAGTTGCCCTGAACACCATCTCTCCTACTGCCCCACCCCCCGTCCTTGTAACCATCAGCCTACTCTGTTTTTATGAGCTTGGCTACTTAAAATTCCATATGTAAGTGAGATCATACAGTCTTTGTCTTTCTCTGTCTGACTTATCTCCCTTAGCATAATGCTCTCAACTTTCATCCATATGTTGCACATGGCAGGGTCTCCTGCTCCCTCGTGGCTGCATAGCACTCCGTTGTATACACATACCACACAACTTCTGCATGCGAGAAAAGGAAACCCCCGTGAACTGTTGGTGGGACTGTACACTGGTGCAGCAACTATCCAAAACAGTATGGAGGTTCCTTAAACAATTAACAATAGAACTACCATGTG